TCAACGAAATCGCCATGACAACAAGACCAAGTTGCGAAAGTAAGCTCAGCCCACTTCTACCATCTTGGTCTTCATATCTTTGAAATCATTCTATATTCATCCATTTCTGTTTATTTTAGTTTTTAGTTTAGTATGCATATCGTGTAGTATGAAACAGGATAGTCTTGTTGAATTAGCGTTAAGTCGAAGCTTTTGTAAGAATTTGTCCCAGTTCTGGAGAAGACGGAGATATCCATCTACATCCCGTTTGTCTTTTTATAAACTGCTCTTTTTGCCCTGGCATCAACGAGATACAGATATGGCTTGATGATATATCTAATACTTAATGTTAAATCACGCATTGCATTAACGCCAGGTTTGTGATTGTTGTTGCATGCTACCTTGACTGGGCAGAGTTACAATGCGATATTTTCATCCTTTCTAGTTTTCTGTTTGCCTGGAAATGTTGTGATGGGCTGTGGAAAATACATTTTCTTTTTTAATATCCATGCATTGACTACGACCAAGTCAGTTGTTTTGGTGAAAAGTCGTTGAAGCCGTCAAATGGGGATAATATTTTTCCATTTGGTACACGTTTTCACGTACTCTGGTTCTGGAAGACTGGTTTTGCCAATGAAACGGTATTATGACTGGCCGGTTGTTGTTTCCTGAAACTTTTTGCAAACTTCAAACGGCCTTCAGATGGCTCAGTGATTAGCCGGTTGTTATTGTAACTTCTGCATGTTGGCTGAAGACATTATGACCAGCTACGTATGACGCTGGCTTGCATCGAGGGTGATGCAGTCATGGCATCCGGCAAGGAAACAGTAGAAGGAGAGATAAGGGCCCGGTTGACTGTAGATATTGTTATGGTTGTCACGAGTGAACATTGCTTTGCCAAGACTTTACACAGTTGTATGACAGTGGAGAGTGTAACTGTGATTTGATGTCATATACAGATTAATTATACACTGGTTTCGTGCATTCAACCAGCAGAACTTCGTGAAGCATGCATTGCACAATGTCCTCTGTCAATGTTGTCGTGTGTTTATCCAACGTCAGAGTGTGACCAAGAAACGCCATTCTTAATGCGATGTATTCACCCTATTTCGTGTAAGGTGATGAAGGACTGATAGTAGAATTTTCCCACAATCATATGAGTTGAGCTGACGTTTCCATTCAATTTCACATCGCCTAGCTTTCCCAAAAGTTGTTCTCATTCCGACTGGAGTGGACTACAGTTTCGACCTCGAATCGGTCTTATCAACACCCTCAGCGGGAGTCGAACCACGACCATGTAGGATGGAAGCTCTACACGCTAACCACTCGGCTACACTGCCACGAGTAGCCTTGAT